TTGTCTAGAGCCAGCTTGGTCCCTCCCTCCCTCCCTTCCCTATCTCTCTCCCTCTCTCCCTCCCTTCCTCACTCCCTCCTTCTTTCTCTTCCTTCTCCCTCTTTCCATTTTATTCCTCCCTCTCTTCCTTCCTCCCTCCCTCCCTCTTTCTATTTGAACATTTTGATAACAGCAGTAACAGCCCTCATGGTTCTTACATGTGCTTGTACCCTGTGCTAGAAGAGTATTGACTCTAAACAGGAAATGTGTAAGTCCCACAAGCAGGTATGGTACAGTGACAGCTGATGGTGGTATTTTTTCAAATGTTCCCCCCCCCCAGCTCTTTTCTGACTGTCCTGTATCATTGTGTGAATAAAAGCATGGGTTTTGACTCCCTCTCTCCCCTTTCTCTTCACAGCCTACATAAAAGGTGGGTGGATCCTTAGGAAAGCCTGGAAGATTTACAATAAGTGCTATGTGGACATCAATGCCCTTCAGGAACTGTATCAGAAGAAGCTAACGGAAGAGCCCTTGTCTTCTGATGCTGCAAATGATAATCACATAGTGGCTGAAGGGGTGACTGAGGAGTCCCTAAACAGACTGAAAGGTGCTGTTAGCTTTGGATATGGCCTTTTTCACCTTTGCATATCCATGGTGCCCCCAAACCTGCTCAAAATCATCAACCTGCTGGGGTTTCCTGGAGACCGCCTACAGGGCCTTTCTTCACTGACGTATGCAAGCGAAAGTAAGGACATGAAGGCCCCTTTAGCTACGTGAGTAGCTATATTGCAATGCTTTGGTAGATAATATAGTATTGAAAGTAAGTAAACAGCAGTGAGAACTTTAAAAGAAACTTCAGAAAAAAATGCTGGTTGGTTGATCAGGATGCTGTACCTGTCATGTAATGTCATGGAATATGTTCTGTGCTGATGGTGACATAATCTTGCTAGTTGGAGACATGGGGCACAGTTTGTTAAGTCCACTGAATCCTGTATTTGTTATTTCCTTATTTTTATGTGTTTATATGTTTATGCACATAGATATGTGTGTTTGTGGGGAGGGGGAGGGATTCATATGCATAGTATGTGGAGACCAAAGAGCAACCTTGGGTGTCATCCTCAGAGATAGGTTCCTTTGAGACAGCATCTCTCATTGGCTTAGAGCTGACCAAGTAGTCTAGGCTGACTGGCCCAGGGTTGCACCTGCCTGCACCTCCCCAGTAATGAAATTACAAGCATGTATTACCAGGTGCATATTTTTATGTGGGTTCTGGGGATTGAGCTTAGGTTCTCATTCTTGGGAGGTAAGCACTTCCCAGGTCAGCTGTCTCCCCAGCCAGTGCAGTTGATTGTTTGTTACTCATTGGGAGCCCACCACCAGCTCCCCAGTAACTACAGGGAGACTTATTCTTACAAATGCCTGGCCTTAGCTTGGCTTGTTTCTAGCCAGCTTTTCTTAAGTTATCCTGTCTACCTTTTGCCTCTGGGCTTTTACCTTTCTCTATTCTATATATCTTTCCTTACTTCTTACTCTGTGGCTGGCTGTGTGGCTAGCCCGACATCCTTTTCTCCTCCTTTTCCTTTTCTAGCTCCTCTTCCCTTCCTTTCTTCTCTCTACCTGCCAACTCCCCCTTCCTTTCTCCTCTCTACCTGCCAACTCCGCCTGTTTCCCTCTTCTGCCTCTCTATAGGCCGTTCAGGTCTTTATTAGACTAATTAGGTGTTTTGGGTAGGTAAAGTAACACAGCTCTACAGAGTTAGACAAATGCTACATAAAAGAACACAACATGTCTTTGCATCATTAAACAAATATTCCACAGCATAAATGAATGTAACACATCTTAAACTATGTTCTACAACAGGCCAGCCCACATGCAATAGTTTAAATGGTGAGTTTATAAGGAGTTTTATGCCTTTACCACAGTCTCTCAGATGCATACTTCTGATTTTATTTGAATTTATAAGGTCAAATTTTGTGTGGTTCTGAAATTTTTGTCCTTACAAAGAATACGAATGTTAGGTGACTTTCCTTGATAACCCTAGTTAGTTGGTGTAGTATATATTATTTATATATTATTTAGAAAACTTCCAGTATTCTACTAAATTGAGACATATTAAAATTAAAATGATTAAAATGTTAAAAAAAAAGGATATGACTTTAACATTTCCTCCTGGGGGCTGGAGAAATGATGGCTCAGCAGTTAAGAGCACTTGTTGCTCTTACACAGGACCCAGGTTTTGTTGGAAGCACCCACATGGCCTGTGGAAGCTGATGACCTGTGACTCCAAGACCAGGGATCTGATGCCCTCTTCTGGCCCCCGTGGGTACTGCACACATAGTGCATTTACATGGACACAGACAAAACACACCCATACACATAAAAAGAAACAAATGCTTAACATTTCAATCTGGAAAATAGCCCCTCTCCTCAAGCTGCACTGCTTGACAGATCCTGGGTCCTGTTTTCTCTGTGTGACACCATCTTGGCAAAAATTTTTCCCTACTCTACAGTGTCATACAAGACCTCAGTGAGATGCAGTTCTACACATGTTAGCATTGAAGGGTTGAAAGTTATTTAAAAATCATGGAGAATAGCTTTACCCCATCACAGTCACTAGATTGTACAAACAGTGGTCCTTCACTGAATAGTGCTGTTAACAGGTTTGTAATTTGTGCATATTTCTTGCTTACAGTTTAGTATTGTTTTGTGTTTATCTCCAAAAAAGGGATTGGAATTAATTCTGCAAATTAATATGTTCTCCATAGGGGCTTAGATTTACCAAGTCCACTAGATGTAGTATTCCCATGAAGATATTTGATGTGCTGGTTAAAAGCATATCTCAGTGATTTTACTCTCTGTGTGCCTATTTTAACTAAGAGAATTAGTTAATTCTTGAACTTAGAGATTTTTTTAAATGTATATTTTATATTGTTCAACATCTTCAAAGGCTAGAAAGAGGGCTTCAGTCTGTCCTTCTTCATTATTGTAATGCTTATTATGATTTGTGACTGTGGATTCTACATTAAGTGTTGACTTTTGGCCCATACCATCCATATACATACATACATACATACATACATACATACATACATACATAGTAGGTATAAGATCTCACTATGGAGTCCCCACCCCACTATATAAAACAGGCTGGTCTGGAACTCACATAGATCCACCTGTCTCTGTCTCCAAGTATTGGTATTAAAGGTATGAGCCACTACAGCTGGCCTGCACCCTAGCTTTTATGAACACACGTTTTTACTTACAAAATGTAAAAGATTTTATTACAAAGAGACAGTAAGTTGATGGTGACTGGTGACTGTCTCAATTTGTCCACAGGATGAGTGAGGTATAGAATCCAGATGCTTCTGGTAGTAACAATACAGCTGGAAGTTTCAGAAAAGCCAGATGCTTCTGCTGTGTTTTTCTCCTTTGTCCCATGCAGAGGGGACTATTGATTGACATCTCATGGCAGAGTAGCAATCTTCCAGATACTGACAAAAGTAAAAATGGGAATGCACTCTGATTGTACTTTTTGGAATATCAAATAGCAAGATTGTATCAGGAGAAGTCAGTTGTGGAAGAGCACAAGTTAGTTTTTATTCTGAAAGCAGAAAGCAGTGAACCCTTGCTCACAGCCTCTCTCTCCCTCTCCGTCTCCCTGCAGGTTAGCTCTGCTGTGGTACCACACTGTGGTCCGCCCATTTTTTGCGTTGGATGGCAGTGATAGTAAAGCAGGCCTGGATGAAGCTAAGGAAATTCTTCTCAAAAAGGAAGCTGCTTATCCGAACTCATCCCTCTTCATGTTTTTCAAGGGACGGATCCAGCGACTAGAGGTATGGCGCCTTCCCCAGCCTCTCAAACCTTGGTGACCATGCATCTGAGTTCTGCTCAGGGGCTGCTGGGGGTGTGCTGGGATGCCATTGCCCGGGGAACATCACTTCCGGTGCCTTCTGTTGTTACATCAGGGCTGAGGAGGACCCTTGTAGGAACCCAGGATACTAGTCAGTTACCTTCTGTTCAGCAGACAGGGCAACCTCAGTAGTGAGAGTGATAGGCATTCTTAAGCTTATAGCACAAGGGTAGTGTGAAACCATGAGGACACAAATCAGAGCTTTCCCTCGTCTGAGTTAGTAATGATCTTAGCTGATGGCTGATTTACACAATGAAATTGTCAGCTTTGGGCATTGCTTTCCCCGTGTGTTCATCTGCTCAGTCTCCATATGTAAATGCCAAGCAACTTCCTCACAGGATCCAGTCCCATCCTCAGAGCCAGCCTCAACATAGACACAAAACTGTCACCTTCAGGTCACAGGAAAGGAAAAAAGGATCCAAGAGGGCATCTGGTAACTTCCTGAGAGTTCCCACATGAGCCCGGGCTGTCTCTCTCCAAACCCAGACTATGCCTTGGCTGCGTTGGGCCCCGCTTCTCTGAGTCTCTTGTCTTGTTCAGGAGCATGAGGGTTTGGGGGACAATAAAGAGGTTGCAGACATTTGAATGAAGGTGGCTGCTCTCACTGCCAGAGCCACCCACTCATTATCTTACCAGCAGTTGTCAGTAAAGCAGTCGGATGCTCTCTGCCCTCCAGCTGTCAGAAGTCAGCCCCAGCAACCCCCACTCCCGAGGATGGTGGAGAATTTTCAGCTGAGAGTTGCTTTTTGGGCACAAGGGGGTTTGGTTTGCTCCCTTCTCTTCTGTTGTATAGGGTTGCTTTGGGTGTTGTCTAGTGTCATACAGAAAACATCTACCGTCATCTGTTCTTTTGCCGTGGCTCATGCAATGGCTCTTAAACCTGAACACTGTGAAGCAGCCCTCTAACTCTGGTTCTCACTGTGTTGAGGATATTGGGCTTTGCAGTTTTATAATTTTATCTACTGTTTATGTGTGTGTGCATACATGGGCGACACGTGTGCTGTGAACATACATGAGGAGGTCAGAAGACATTATGGTATAAGTTCTCTCCTCCAACTTTTATGTGGGTTCTAGAGCTCAATTTGAGGTCATCAGACCTAAATGGCAAGTGCCTCTGCCTGCTGAGCTACCTATTTACCTGTAATTGTCAATTTGACACAGCCCAGAAGGGAAGCCTCCATTGAGGAATTGCCAAAATCAGATTGGCCTGTGTCCATACCTGTGGGGGGTCACCTCCATTGTTGATTGATGTGGGAAGGCCTAGCCACCATAAGTGGCACCAGTCCCTATGGAGTTGTCCTGGGCTGTATGGTAAGGCTAGCTAAGCCCGTGAGTGAGCCATCGCTGTGCTTCAAGTTCCTGCTTGAGTTTCTGTCCTGACTTCCCTCAATAATGAACTGTGATCTGGACGTAGAAGCCAAGTAAACTCTGCCCTCCCCAAGCTACTTTCCCTCAGAGTGCTTTATCCCAGCAACAGAAAGGAAACCAGGGCCTGCAGGAACCTTTTAAAGCTGGCTACAATGCCTTTTCTCTATACTTCTGTTTAAATTAAATTGTGGCAGGGACTGGAAAGTGGGTGTAGACACCTTAGGTGAGTCATTCATCAGGTAGAAAAGAGGGGAGACCTGCAGAGGTTGTGGGAGCAGGGGCCAGAGCAGAGGGACCACACACCAAAGGCTGTGCACTCCTATAACAGAACCCTTTGTTGAAGGGCAGCCTGTGTCTTGTGTGTGAATAGCATGCCCTGTCCCCTTGATGTAATGCTGTTATTTATAGGATCAGAGGCAACGCAAAAAGAGAACTAATTCCCTCAAGTTCGATTGTCATCTTCTTTTCTTCTAGCCCACACACTCTCTTAATTACCTGAAAAATCCCCCCAAAAAAAAAAAACATCAGGGTTGCCATTTATTCTTAGAAGTACAGAAACTGTTAATGATTTCATCTGGTGTGGGGGAAATAGAAGACACCTCTGTCCTCAAATCCCAGTGAGATGAAACCACATTGTATTACCATACATAATGAAAGCAAATTCACTGCCATGAGAAGGTAATAGTTGCCCACTGCACTGGATGGTTTGTGTGTCAGCTTGTCACAAGCTAGAGTCATCAGAGGAAGGAGCCACAGTTGAGGAAATGCCTCAATGAGATCCAGCCGTAAGGCATTTTCTCATTTAGTGATCAATGGAGGAGGGTCCAGCCCATGGCAGGTGGGGCTACCCCTGAGCTGGTGGTCCTGGGTTCTATAAGAAAGCAGGCTGAGAAAGCCATGGGGAACAAGCAGCAAGCAGCACCCCTCCCTGGCCTCTGCATCAACTCCTGCCTCCAGGTTCCTGCTCTGTGTGAGTTCCTGTCCTGACTTCCTTCAGTATGAACAGCAATGTTGACGTATAAGCCTAATAAACCCTTTTCTCCCAGCTTGCTTTTGGTCAGTTTCATCAGAGCAATAGAAACTCCCAGCTGGATAAGCTGCAGAGTTGGTTCCCATCTCTGGACTCCTACATATGCCTAAGGGGATGGACTTCCTGTCTGCTGTACCCACTGTAGTCCTAGGTTAGTGGTCAAATACATACTCTGGCTAGATGCCCTTGATAGCAATGTTGCTAAAGCCATCTTGCTGTGCAACAATGTAAGTGCTGAGTCACATGTAACTTGAATCCCCATGCAATTTTGTGGTTGGTTTGTATGAAATCTCCAGAACAGGCAAATTTATAGAGACAGACAACGGACAGCACTTCACTGATTCAACCTCGAATCCCCTGACCCTGTGTTGTACTTCTCTTATGCCCCTAGTGATGCAGGGTGAAGCAGTTTAAAGATAGTTTATAAAAGATTGCAGAGGAGACATCACATAGAAGCCATGGAGCAGAAGACCTAGTATTATCAGGATGGCTGTGCTCCTTCAATTGCCCTCAAGATCCAGTCACAATCCTAGTGCAGTCACTTTGAGAACTGCAGCTTAGCTGCTGGGGATGTCACTCAGTGGTGGGGTATGGAACATGAATGATAATGCCAGAGACCTGATATTGGGGTTCAAGCTTCAAGCTAAAGATAGAGAAGCAAAGCAGCCAGGCCAGTACACCTTACCTCTTCCCAGCTGGAATGGCAGTCCTGTCACCACGAGTCCTCAGAGGCAAAAGCCCGGAGTTCCTGTCTCTAGCTCTCTAGTGCTGGGATCAAAGATGTGAGCTCTGTCACTCTTCACTCTTGTGTAGGCCAGGGTGGCCTTCAACTCAAGAGAGACAGATCCATCTGTCTGTCTCCCGAGTCCTGGGATTAAAGGTGTGTGCCACCACTGCCTAGCTTCTACATCTAACTAGTGTGGCTGGCTTTGTTTTCTGATGCTTCAGGCAGTCTTTATTAAATCATAAGTAATATATCACCACAAGGGTACTTACCTGGCATGTGTGCAAGGCCCTGGGCTCTTTCCCTCTGGTGCACAAACAAACCAGCAATGCCCTTGAAGAGGTAGGCAAGCTGACCTAATCTTAGGGAACCCAGAATAGCCAGAACCATCTGGAAAAAGAAGAACATTTGGAAAGCTGACTGCAGGGTAGTCTCGGTGCTGTGACACTGACGTAAGAGTAAACATAGGGATCAATGAAAACAAGACCCCATTATGGTCATTCGACTTGAGAAGAGCACCAAGAGCAATCAATGGCCAAAAAAAAAAAAAAAATGTCTTCAACAAATGGTGCTGGGACAACTGAATACACACATTTTACTACACAGCTTTGCATCTATCTGTAAAATTCACTCACAGTGGGGCTGTAGCTGTTAATGTAGAATCTAAAAATCACAGAGCTGAAAATGCAGAGACAAAAATAGGTGGCTTAAACTACGTCACAGTGAAACACGAGTGTTATAAGCATGACTAAGAAAATGAAGGCTTTGACTTGGAAAAGGACTTTGTAAATCATGTATTTACTAAAGACTAGTGTCCCTAAATAGTATTAGAGTACAATAGTAGAAAGATAAATTACCCAGCATCAGTTTACTGCACAACTCAGCAGTTCTCTTTGGAATATACCTGAGAGGTTGGCAATGTTGGCCAACTTCAGTGGCCTAGCCTCTAAAGTCCACATGGCCTTCAGCAAAGCCTCCATGTTGGCCTCCTGGTGGCCCATAGTAAATGTCTGTTGCTATGCAAAGGGCTGATGAGCCTATGAAAAGATACTTGGTGTTGAAAGTCATTTAATACTGCCCCTCAAATCCAGTGGGAACTAGTACTTCACACTCACCTGGCTATGTGTAACAACTAGAAACAAATGTTCCCATGACTGGAGAAACTAGAAGCCTCACTCATTGCTTCTGAGAATGTAAAGTGGGACACTTTAGTATGTCCTCAAAGTGTCACGGGTCAATTCACTACACGACCCAGCAGTTCTTCTTGGAATATACCCAAGAGAAATGAAAATATAAACTCCATATTATCTATTATCCATAGCAGTAAAAAAGTAGAGACAAGGCCAGTGGTTTGTTTGTCAGCAGGTAAAAGAATAAGCAATATGTGTTATATTCATATAGTGGGCTGTAATTCAGCAATACAAAGGAATGAAGCATGAGTCGGTACAGGCTAGAGAAAAGCTAGGCACAAGCCCCATGTGGTTTTCTGATTCGTTTTGTATCAAGTTTGCAGAACAAGCCAACTGTAGAGACAGAATAGATGTCATTCGCTTGGATGTGGAGGAAGGCCATTGAAGAGATGGAGTTACTGATAACCAAGACTTGTTTCCTGTGAGGATGAGAACACAGAGGTTATGATGATTGTACCTGGGGTACACAAGAGGTCCTTCACCAGACACCTATGGCATCCTCCCAGAGTGCCAGTCACTTCTAGGGACCTTTTGAGGGCTGCATTCCTGATGATGACTTCAGTCTGTTTCTTTCATGCCTGTCTCTGTTCATGTTTGCTCTTTTCTACCTA